CCACAGAAAACGCTGCAGTCAGAGGATAACTTTTGGGAGTCCTTTCTCTCCTTCCAACACGTGGGTTCTAGGGACTAAACTCAGGTCATCAGACTTAGAAGCAAGCATCTTTACCCACTGAACCATAGGACCAGCCCCAATTTTGCTTCTGGAGACAGGTTCTCCTCCTGTAGCTCAAGCAGACTTTGAAATCCTGACCCTCTTGCTACTATCCTCTAAGTGCTGACAGACGTGCACCACCACACCCAGCTTGGTGATTTTTCTCTTTATGGAATAGCTACGTCTTGCACCCAGAGGATGTCTGGAGTGGACAGATGGTGGACATGTGAATTCATTCCTTGCTGAGGGTTTCCTGCCTGTTCTTCCTGTCTGCCTGTCACTGCTGCTGCGATCAGTCACCCTGGCAAACGGCCCAGCTGGTCAAGTGTACAAGTGACTGCATGTCATCAGCCTTGGGGCATGCAGTTTCAGATTCCAGAAGTTTGCTGCTGGCTCCCTGCCCTGCTGACTCAACTTGGGTTTTTTTTTCAGTCAGTCTGCCCTAAGGGTCTTCCTGGCAGGCAGGTTTTCTGTGCCAGGCTCCTCTTCCTAGCAGGCTAGAGGGGAACTAGCAGGGAAGGGGACGCCCAAGCAAACCTCTTGAATGAAAACTTAGCCATGCAGCATAAACAGGGAAAGGTATCAGCCTCAACCAGGTCCTCCTTTGTCTCAACCTTGTCCCCCTCACCCTTGCTCCGTGCTAGGGTTTATCCACAAACTAAGGAACTTGGTGCAGGGTCTAGGCTGTGGGGAACGAGTGCATGAATGGTTGGGTGTGGAAGGGAAGTCTTTATTTGACGTTACCCAAGTTGCTTGCTTTTTACATTTTTTAACATTATGTAATTGTAAGAATCCAACAAGGTCAGAGTCATGATCATGTCTCCTGGAGTTCACATTTCAGGTGGTTGTGAGCTGTCAGACTTGGGTCCTCTGCAAGAGCTGGACGTGGTCTTAATTGCTAAGGCAACTCTCTGGCTCCTCCTTGCTTTTTGTTTTGTTTTGTTTTTTATTTTGTTGTTGTTTTGTGACAAGGTTCTCCTGGCTGGCCTAGAACTTCAAGCCATCTTGTGAAGACCAGGCTAACCTCAAGCTCACAGAGCTCCCTCCAACTGCTTCCGTTTCTAGGGTGTTGAGATTAAAAGTAAGTGCCACTGTGAAATGTTTTTCTGTTTTGTTTTGTTTTGTTTTTTGAAACAAGGTCTTGCGTTGGTGGCACACACCTTTAATCCCAGCACTTGGGAGGCAGAGGCAGGATCTCTGTAAATTCGAGGTCAGCCTGGTCTACAGAGTGAGTTCCAGGATAGACTCCAAAGTTATAGAGAAACCCTGTCTCGAATAACAAAAAACAAAAAAGAAAGAAAGAAACAAGGTCTTGCTGTTTCAGCCTTGATTGGTCTGGAATTTACTGAGCAGGCTAGCTCCTAGCTTGCACTATTTTCCCGACTCTGTCTCCTGAGTGCTGGGATTACAGATGAGTGCCACCGGTTTTGTTGTTACTGTTGTTGTTTGGAGACCTGGTTCAAAGTAGCCCAGACCCTTCAGCTCCATGCCCCAGACCCATGCCTCAGAGCTGGGATGACAGGAGTGGCCTCAAGCACCGTTCCTTTAATGCAGGTAAATTCCAGAAGACCCCTGGCGTTGGTGGGCAGCCAACAGGAAGAGGCCTAGAGTTGTAATCTGTATGATGCATATAAAAGTCCCAGCAATTACAGCACTGACAATTTGACCATTAAGAGAAGACTAATTGAACAAGTGACCCTCACAAAGACGTCTGCAATGACGAATCCTTGAACCGGAAGGAGCGTGGGAGGACAGAAAGGTCTCTGGTGGAAGAGAGAGTTGGGGGGCAGGGGTTCCAGCCTGGTCTGGAGATTGAAGATCTCAGAAAGCCTCCAAGCAAGGTTCTGTAACGCCTGCCACTTGCCATCTGAACTCGGCTGACCAGGGAGAAACCTTTCTGCCACGTAACTCTGCTCCACTCCGCTTCTGACTTGGGAAGGGGTCAGTCAAGAAAGCATCCATGTCCTTATTGACCTACACGCCCTTTCCTCCACTGATCCGGGCAGGGAGCGGGATGCGGGGCTAGGGCTGGGAATTTCCGGGCTTAAGAGAGGACTATGCAGTGCAGGGACAGTCACGTCCCTCTTGGGGTCGCGGGGGAAGGCCAAGCAGGCATCTCCAAGGATTCTTCACTCCAACACGCACGCAGGCACATATATGCTCGCACACGCACAAACACCTCGTAACTACCAGGCCTGCGGCACCCAGCACCCCGACACTTGGCCGCTCGCCCCGCCCTCGGCACTCCCCGGGCCCCGCCTCCGAGGCTCTCCCTCCCACTCTCACACTGCTTTATAAAATGGGGCGTTGGGTGCAACCGGGAAAAGCTGTTCGGCTGGGAACTCCAGGCCTTCTCTTCTTCATCGGAGCAAGTCTAAGCCGGCAGCCACAGAACTCCAGCTAGTGAGTCTCGAACCCCTGCATTCCTGAGTCCTAGCGTCGCCGCACCCAAGACCACCCCCCGGGAATCATGCGCTGCGCTCCGACCGCAAGCGCAGCCCTGGTGCTGTGTGCAGCTACCGCTGGGCTGCTGAGCGTGCAGGGCCGCCCTGCACAACCCGAGCCGCCGCGCTTCGCGTCCTGGGACGAGATGAACTTGCTGGCTCATGGACTGCTGCAACTGGGCCACGGGCTGCGCGAACATGTGGAGCGCACCCGTGGGCAGCTAGGCGCACTGGAACGCCGCTTGGCTGCGTGCGGTAATGCTTGTCAGGGACTCCAGGGCAAAGATGTACCTTCCAAAGACCCAGAAGGCAGAGTCCCTGACAGCGAGGCGGCTCCTGAGACTCTGCAGAGTTTGCAGGTAGGCGCACCCATTCCTTTTGGGTCCCCTACAGATGTGCATTTGTGTGCACAGGACCGGGGCGGGGAGGGGCCTCAAAGAACCAACAAGTAAAAGGATGGAAGGGAAGGTGAGTAAGGGGAGGTTGCAGACATAAAGCCAGGTCTTCACCAGTCTTGCCTGTCTCCAGACACAGCTCAAGGCTCAGAACAGCAAGATCCAGCAACTGTTTCAGAAGGTGGCCCAGCAGCAGAAACACCTAGCGAAGCAGAATCTGAGAATACAAAATCTTCAAAGCCAGGTACTCACCCCCGGGCTTGGCCCAAGCCGGAGACAGGGAAGATGAAATGGGACCAGTAGAATGTGGCTAACAGCAAGAGACCTGACTACCCCTTTCCTGTCCTGTCTCAGATTGACCTCCTGGCCCCCACACACCTAGACAATGCGGTGGCCAAGACATCGAGAGGAAAGAGGCTTCCCAAGATGACCCAGCTCAATGGCCTGACTCCCAATGCCACCGGCTTGCACAGTGAGTGTCTCTGGGCTTTGATGTCATCCCACAACTGTCAAACCCTCTACCTGCCATTCCCACTCTTACCCTCTTGTCTGGTTCACATTAATAAGAAAGGAAGAGATGCAACTTGAATGCCTATGGGCTCACTAAGCCCTGTCAAGGGGTTTAGATGTACCACCCTCCCCAATTCAGATCCTGCTTGGCCAGGCCACCCCACCCTTCTTTCCCAGCAAGACTCTCCCCAAAATCTTATTAGCCACTAACCAGAACAAGTGGAGGGAGACAGACTGTAAGGAGCTGAAGTTTCAGGGGTGCTTGGAGATGGTGGTGTAGCTTAGGGACATCATCCTAAAGGGCCCAAATGTGTGTGTGTGTGTGTGTGTGTGTGTGTGTGTGTGTGTGTGTGTGTGTTGTGTTTCCAGGGAACACCAGGGTAAGGACACGTCCCACCCCAGCTCCCAGAGGAGATACATAGTCTTCCATCTTACAAATCCTTTGTACCTCTTCTGGCCTCCATCCAATCACATACACACATATACCCTGCAGTTTTTGTAATCACAATTTCTAGGTCCTATACTGTGCATGTCCAATACTTAGTTTCCAATTGCTGGGGGGGGGGGATGCTCCCAGTTCCAATCCTGAGTTCACAGCCATTCTCTCACCCTGCTTGACATATGTGGCTGTCCACAGCCAACTGGGTGAAAGTTTGGATATCCCCCTTCACACCCTAGGGCTAGTTGCTGGCTTCCGGCTAGATAGCCTTTAGACTTGTTCCCTTCCCTGGCTTTTACCCAGACATGTACCTGGCATCGTGAGAGTCATGGGAGAGCTTTCCAGGGTCAGCAGGCATGGGTTCTGGCTGGGTGATGGAGTGGGAGAGAAAAGCAGAAGGGGTGGTTTTGTGGGTTTGGGACTCCAAGACTCAGCCTAGCCAAGTAGGGGAAAGTTCAGAGCTGGAAAGACAAACAGCTGGCCCTTAATGGAGACCACATGGATGGCTTGGCAATGTGCCTGTCCCCATTGGATGAGAGGAAAGCAGGGGAAAGGGAGCTGCCCAAGAGATTGGAAAGTGGCCTTCCCATCTTTCTGGGCCTGCCCCCACTCCTGGCAGTGTGGCCTGTGCTAGCTTGGCAGAGAATTCCCTCATGCCCCTCCTCCCAGTGACCTTTCTCCTACTTTCCCTGGCTGGGCTGGGGGCGGTTCTTCCTGAGTTTAGAGGCTTTGTCAAGGCCAAGTTCCTTCTCTCCTCCTCTCTTCATTCCTTCTCTCTTCATCTCTGCCCCACTTCTCATAGCAGAGACAGTCATATGCCACCGCACCCCCTAGCCTCAGTGCCCCCCTGTCTCATCTACGCACTGTCAGCATCTCCTACTAACTAAACCCTTTTGCTCAGTCAGCTCTGCTCTTGCCTTACTCCCATCAGTTATTTTAAGTCGTTATTGAAACACACTGGCTGTGGATTCAGGTTCCTACTATAGACAAAGTTCCTCCTTGTCCCTAACCTTAGGAGACCCCTATTCAATGAGAGGAGTAGGGACACACTAACCAGATGACATCTCCCCAGTGGGCAGATGTCTGTGTTCACTTTGGGGAGTCTAAGTGGGTTTGAGAAAGTGGAAGCATCCTTTTAGATGCTCAGACCTGGAGAAAGGAAAAGGAAAAGGGAATCCCTGGCATCAGGACCATGTGCCAAATCCCAATGGCAGGAAAGTGTGATACAAGGAAGAAAGGCTTCGTGACCAGAAAGAGTGGACAAGCAGTGTGAGAAGAGGGAGGATTGGCCAAGGGGCTGGTCCTCAGTGTGCCTTGTAGACCATACTGGAGAATGCAACAAGGAGCCAGGAACAAGTTCAGGCGGATGGCCCTGGGCACATCCCCTACCACCCAGCCCTCATGCACACCTGTCTCCTGGAATCTCTGGGGGCATCTCTCCTGCTTCAGTCACACCTTTGTCTACTTTCAGGACCTCCCAGAGACTGCCAGGAACTCTTCCAAGAAGGGGAGCGGCACAGTGGACTTTTCCAGATCCAGCCTCAGGGATCCGCTCCATTTTTGGTCAACTGTGAGATGACATCAGGTAGGATGTGCTGACCTACCAAACAGCCTACTTGTCACGCACAGCCTTGGTGTCATGACATCCAGCTATGTGTAACTCAGTGATTAAAGCACTGGGTCCCTTCCACAGCAAACACACACACACACACACACACACACACACACA